TCGATTATCGCTCCTCGATCCTCAATCCTCAGTCCTCCGGCAGAAATAAGGCCACTGGGACCTTATTATACATCCATGACTGGGACGCTACTCAAGATGGCGCAGACAAATCAACTTCCGGTGATACCGAGACCGAGGAGCGAGGAAATAAGAGAAGTGAAACGCACCCATAGGGTCCTTCTCACTTCGGTTAAATGGATTCCTTGCGTCCCTCACTTGCGTCGTTTCCCTGCGACTAGTCCCTCCCACCAGAGAAGCATGGAGAGACTCAAGGAAACCACGAGAAGCAGGGAAATGAGTTTTAAGAGCAATGGGACGTCCTTTCCTCCGGAGCGTCACGTGAAGCGACGTCCGTTTGTGATGACGCTGCACAGCTAATCGTCTGACAGCAGCTCTGTCCCCGTTATTTTCACACACCCCCCCGCCTCTGTTAGCACACATTTACTGACACTAACATTTGTATCATCTGTTGTAGACCCAAATAAATAAAATAAAATAAGAACTCATTCTCAAAAAAGATAAACGCAATTCTTAAAATGTATAAGCGAACAATAGTTTGATTAATATTGATTAGAGTGCACAATATAAATAAAATAATTGAGAGAAGAAAAATATATGTTATCTATCAAAACCCAGTTAGATTAACATTCATTGGATTGCACACTGTTTGTTTGTGTGGATATGATGTGTTAAGGGAAATGTTTACATATGTCCTCAGTTATTGTATGTAATACTGTTATTGTACCACTGTGAGGCACTGTAGTATTACGTGCTACGTAATGACCAGTCTTGCGTCATGAAAATGAGGGTGTGTGCACCTGATGCACGTGTACACTGTCTATGTTTGTTCTCTTCTAAGTTAGCTCGGCTGAGCGAAGGAATCACCTGTGAAGCAGAGGAATAAATCATGCTCAAGGGCTAAACAGTTCATCGTCTCCGTCTCCAATATTTCTCTCCGAGTGCAGCGTAAGAAGAAGCTGCCATCCTAAACCTCAACAGGTTATGGGCCCAGGAGTCATTCGGGGAGAAGTTTGAAGATTTATCACAGTCAGAAAGTCACGGCGAACAGCGTGCTAACGGGATAGCAAGATAAGCTAACATGGATCATCGAGGGACAAGCAGGTTGCCTCGACTGATGTTCGACGGAGATGAAACCAGTGCTTGAATTGGAATGAAAAAGGTGCCAGTACTCTAAAATCAGCAACTTTTTCAAGTCAATTTTATATATACAGCCCACAAACAAGAATTTGGCTACTATAATGCTGGTGGGTTTGTCTCTTTACTACTGTATATTTTAGAAAGGTTCACTGTACTTAACATTTTTTATGATAGGCAGCGGATATGGCTAAAGCTCAGTAAGGTCAATATTAACTGAAAATATAGCAATCAAAGTCTAGATCTTCTGCTGAAGACACATGAAGCAGAGACCTTTCAGGTGAGAGCCCCTCTGGTGGTGTTCAACATTAATGACAAGGAAACAAAGCTCTGGTCAGAAGCATTTTTTATAAAAAGCTTTAACAAAATTAAGTATTTCTGTACATTTTGAATGCAATCTAACTTTCCAACTCAGAAAACGAAAAACGAAAAAGTGCCAAAAGTCTTCTCACATGGCTGAGCTGCTTTGCAATATACTTCACCACTGAAGAATACAAATATGTATAAAGTAAACTATGATGCAATCTAACTTTCCAACTCAGAAAAATGATAAAGAGCATGAACAAAGAACATGTAAAAACAAATGCAAAATTTGCACAATCTAAAATGAGAAACTGTAACTGCAAGTAACAAAGTCTGAGCCATGGTAAAGAGTTACATTGAACACCAAGCTGATCAGATAACTCCCTGGTTGGTCTGAAGTCCTTCTATCTCCAGGATCTGTACAAATCGGCACATTATGCCAAAAGTCTTCTCACTGGGTGAGCTGCTTTGCAATATACTTCACATTGTTAGAAAAGGCTCCAGAAGGCCTTGGGGACATCAGTATCAGGGGCTGGAGCTGGACAGGCTCTTTCATCAGCACTTCTCCTTCCCTTTGCCAGCCAGGACCTCACATACTGTTCCGGATTGAACTGTCCTAGTGATGGTCCATTACATTTAATGAAAACCAGGCTGGACAGTCGGCTGACAGAGAGAGCATTCCTTTTTGCAGTAAGGATATCATTCATGCAGCTGAATGCCCGCTCACACTCACTAGTGGAGACAGCGATGGTTCGGACTGCTTTCAGTAGAGGCTCCATGGCAGCAGGTGTACGGGATGCCCTGGTTTCCTTGTATTCGCGAAAGCCCTGAACAATCTCTCTTCTGTCCACTTTCAGCACTTCGCACAAACGTAGCACCTCTACGTCCCCATACTGTACGTCTAACTCCTCTTCAGGCCAACTTCCAGGATGGATAACTTTCATGTCCTGGATTAGCTGATTGTCCCGGGCCTCCCGGCCATGTAATGGGATTTCTCTTGTGCTGACATGAGAGGAGGTTGTGGAAGTCATTCTGTGTCTCAGATTCTCTACCATACTGCGGAAAAACTGACCTGCATGAATCTGTACAAGCCTGCCATTCTCACGCAGGGCAACACCCTTGAAGGACTTCTCAGCTAGAGCTGTATGAACTGTAGTCATGTGTGGGCCAGGCATGGTGACCATGGATTCAAAAACTCGTATTTCTCGAGTTAAGGGCCTATCTGCTGTAGGCAGTGTCATCTCTCTTTTTTGGAGTTGCCGAGAGAGGTCGCTGAGCTCTGTGAGCGCATCGTACATCAGTTCCAGATTGCTGACAAACGTTGCAGATGTGAGCACATCATCCAGGCCCTTGTACTTTTGCTCTGTCTCTGGAATCCCTGCTCGTGTCGTTTGCAGCATTTGTGAAGTGATCATGAAGCACTCGGTAGTTTTCCCAGACTGCTCTGACGCTCCTTTCACTTGAAGCCACCCAGCGGATGGACAAAACACGCCCTATCACCAGGAGACGCTGTCCGACTGCTTGCGCACACTGCGCTAACTGCCTCTGATTTTTGGGGGAGGCATGGAACAAGGAATAGAGTTTGTCAAAAAAGATCTGGAAATGATTGAGCCCTGAGACCTCCTTGACCACATCCCCAACTGCCAGCTCTAGACGATGATTGGAGCAGTGCCACACAAACAGGCTTGGGAATTTACTACACAACTGGGTAGCAACGCCTGTTCTCTTCCCTAGCATGACTGAAGCCCCATCACATGCAAAAGAAACGAAACACTGACCTAAAAAGTCCTCGTTAAAATCTCTTCCAAGACACTCCATTAACGCCTTTGTGATGTCATCAGCCGTTGTTCCATCCAACTCGATCAGCTCCCAAAAAAAACGTTTCGGGCTCAGCATCAGCTAATGCTGAGCGTAGACACACAACAAGTACCGTTTTACCACTAATAGTGGTAGATTCATCGACCAAAACACAGAGTTTTCTTTGGTTTTCTGTAATGTCTTTTGCCATTTTTTTCTTCAGCTCATGAGCTATGTGGTCGATGATTTCGCCACAGGTTTTATTGGAGTGCAAAACCCTGCCCACGTTCAGCCCATTCAGTTTCTGTACATTCAAATCAATTGGCATGTCTGTGAATGGCCGGCTATGTTTGCCAATTTTATATGCCGTTCGAAAAACTCTGATAGTGGTGTCTAATTCAGATTTATGCATAGACTGCACTTGATGTTGAATAGTTTCACGTGAAGCAGATGTAAGGATGTCAACAGCTTTTACATGGGCTTGTGATTCTTTATGTTCTTTGATTTTTTTTTTCACAGGCTAGCTTGTTGTTTGCCCTTGTCAACACCGAAATGAGACACTGCACACTCACCCCATTCAGTTGACAGTTTCAGTCCTTGTCCAGTGTGTATTCCCAAAGATTTGACATCTCTGCATATCCGACATCCTAGCTTCTTATCTTTAAGAAGGAGCCATGCATTGGTCTTGCAAAAATATTGCACCTGGTCCGTTGTCCAGCAGTCAGGTGCATCGCTTTGCCCGGTGTTGGTGGTGGCAGTTGCGCCAGCAGCAGCTAACGTTAGAGGCTCTGGAGGAGGCGGCAGAGCTAGTGCTAATGCTAATGCACTAGAACTTGGAGCAGGAGGATCAACCAAAGAAAGCTCCCCATCAGACACAATTTCCAACACAGGCACAGCATTCTCTGTATTTGAAGTTTCTTCCGGCGACAACCGCTGTCTTTTTGCACTTGTATTAATCCACGCTAACATTTTAGAAATGCTAATTTGTGACGTGACTTGCTTTCCTTCTCTCGGGGGCGTGCCTGCTCTGTTCTATCACTCTACATAGCCACCCACTGGGTGGGAGTTGCACTGCATAAACACAACACACGTGCATCTAGGTATGTAAATTGTAAAGCATTAAAACATGGTTTTACTAACAGTTTTCAGTATGTTGTTACTTCGGCATTATTATTATTATTATTATTTTGAAACGTGTATTACTATTAAATCACGGTCAAATAGGTTAATTTTGACATAGTCGTTTCCACCACAGTATTTACATGGAGAAGATAAGCCCCGCCCCCTCTCCAGCACGTTCTGTTTGAATGACAGGAGTAAACAGCTGACAGCCGCTGTGAAACTCCAGCGGTTAGAGCGATGAGAATGTCCGTTCGGCACCTCATGACGCATCTACTGAGTACCGGGCGGCTGTATATATATATATGGATGTATAATAAGAACGGCGGGAGAGTGTTGAGTACTGGCACGGTGCATGAGCACCGGAGTACCGCCAGCATGCCGGTACTGAGCAAGAAGTGCCGGTACTCCATGGGTCAGAACCAGAAGTGCCGGGACTGCGTACCGGTGAGTACCGGCCCAATTCCAGCACTGGATGAAACTAAGTATGAACTGTGGGAGACAAAAGTGTTAGGACACCTTCACCTATTAGGGTTAAAGAACACGATTCTCAGAGAACCAAATGGTGAAGCCGAGATAGCGGCAGACGGCAAGAAAAATGCAGACGCTTATGCTGAGCTAATACAACTTTTAGACGACAAAAGCCTCTCGCTAATTATGAGGGATGCGCCCGACAATGCAAGAGAAGCCTTAAAGATATTAAGGGGATATTATGCCGGGAGGGGAAAACCCCGGATAATAAACTTGTATGCCACATTGACATCGCTTCAGAAGACGAACAGTGAAAGTGTCACAGACTATATCATACGGGCAGAAACCACCATCACTGCGCTACGGAACGCAGGTGGAACGTTAGGCGACGGCCTACTGATAGCCATGGTCTTAAAAGGACTGCCTGAGATGTTTAGGCCATTTGCAATACACGTGGCACATAATGATGATAATATAACGTTTCCAGAGTTCAGGACAAAGCTAAGGAGTTTTGAAGACACAGATAAATTAAGCACGACAGAGTCGAGTGATAACGTGATGAAGACTCAAGCGAGACCCGGACGGCGGCCCGCCAAGCAAGGTGCATATGACGGGAACAGTGACAATGCCGATATTGAGTGTTTTAAGTGCGGCACAAAAGGCCACAGAGCGAGAGTGTGTCGGCAGAAGACATGGTGTAGTCAATGCAAAAGTGACACACACAAAGACGCCACGTGCAGGCGTAAAGACAGACAAGATGGCGCGAGAAAAGTCTCAGAAGAAGATGGTGGTGACGCTGATTACGTCTTCAGGATCAAAGACGGAGAAAACAGGGTCCAACTTCGATGACACGTTCAAGCCAGAGACACACTGCGTGGAGCTGGCAGACGGTACCCGGTGCAACGGCGTCGCTCAACGCAAGGGAGAAGCAGAGGTTTGCCTGGTCGACAGCGGAGGACGGCGACATACCACTACGCTGAGAAAGGCGTTGTTTATACCGTCATATCCCCAGGACATCTTCTCAGTGAAGGCAGCGACCGCCAGCGGAGCCACGGTCGTTTTCAAGCAGGGAAAAGACGCTTTGATACACAAAGACGGTACCAGGTTTGACATTCATGTGTCCAACAGGTTGTATTATTTGCACACTGAAGGTGAGAATAGTGACAAATGCAATGCTTGCCATGATGTACAGACGTGGCATGAAATTCTAGGCCACTGTAATTATGACGATGTGCTACAAATGCAAAATGTGGTTGAAGGTATGCAGATCAAGGGCAAAACAGATAGACCCGACCAAGAATGTGAGGTGGGAAATTTCAGGGGAAATTTGCACAAACCAGAAATAGAAACCCTGATAGTAGAGCAAAGGCTCCATTACAAATCGTACACACGGACCTAGCCGGTCCAGTAGCTACAGAGTCAAGAGATGGTTACAAATATGTACAGTCATTCACTGATGACTACTCGGGTGCAATATTTGTATATTTTCTAAAAACTAAAAGTGACACGGTACAGGCAACGGAAAAATTCCTAGCAGATACAGCCCCATACGGGAAAGTGAAGTTTATAAGGTCAGACAACGGCACAGAGTTCACATGCAGGGATTTCCAAACGTTGTTAAGGAAAAATAGGATAAGACATGAGACGTCAGCCCCGTACTCACCCCACCAGAACGGTACAGCTGAGAGAAGCTGGCGTACTCTTTTTGAGATGGGTAGGTGTATGCTAACTGAAAGTCAATTACCAAAACAGTTATGGAACTACGCAGTCCCAAACGGCAGCCATAGTACGTAACAGATGTTTTAACAGGCGTACAGGACAAACCCCTTACCAGATGCTGACAGATAAAAAGCCTAACGTCTCTACAATGCAGAAGTTTGGGTCTGTATGTTACACATACAAACAGGACAAAGGAAAACTTGATTCCAGGTGTGATCAGGGGCGTTTTGTGGGTTATGACAAGAACAGCCCCGCGTATTTGGTCTATCACCCAGATACTGAGAAAGTACAAAAGCACAGACTAGTCAAGTTTGTAAACAAGGTAACTGTGGAGAAACAGACACAGACATTTGGGTCAGACCCAAATGATGACAAATACAGTGTGAGGCAGCCTAGGGCTAGCAGGGTCATACAGGAGATACATGAGAGCACAGAGAATGCTAAAGAGACTAGTGCACAAAGTGACAGTCCAGTAACTATGTCTGACGACAGTAGCCAAACACAACCAAGTGGGACAGATGATGAATCTGAGGGTGGGAGATACTCGACTAGAGACAGAAGAAAACCAAGTCACTTAAAGGACTTTGTAACTGAAGACAGTGATAGTGATGGGATTCATACTACCGTAGACTACTGCTACAGAGCAGTATGTGGCATTCCACAGACATTTAAGCAGGCTATGACGTCAACTGACTCAAGAGAGTGGGTCAAAGCCATGGATGACGAAATCCAATCATTAAACGACAAGAACACATTTACCCTGACAAATCTGCCAAAAGGCAAAAAGACAGTGGGGGGCAAATGGGTTTACTCTATCAAAAGTGATATTGAGGGAATGGACAAGTACAAAGCAAGGTTTGTGGCCAAAGGCTATAGCCAGAGGATGGGGATTGACTATGGAGAGACTTTTTCCCCCACGGCCAGCTTGACGAGTGTAAGAGTGTTGTTACAGAAAGCAGCACAGGAGGACTTGCTACTGCATCAGATGGATGTAAAAACAGCGTACTTACACGCTCCTATAGATTATGAAATCTATATCGAACAACCAGAGGGTTATGATGAAAGAGGGGAAGGTCTAGTGTGTAAACTAGAAAAATCTCTTTATGGTCTAAAACAATCCGGTAGAAATTGGAACAGGATTTTGCACGATTGTTTAACTGAAGACGATTTTGCACAGAACCCAGCAGACCACTGTGTCTATGCCAAAGAGACCGAAGGTAGAAAGGTGATAATAATCATCTGGGTCGATGATCTGATCATTGCAGCTAGCAATGACAAAATAATGAAGGAAGTGAAAGAGATGCTCTCTGCCAAATTTAAGATGAAAGATTTAGGCAGCCTAAAACACTTTCTGGGTATCGATTTCAAACAGTCGGATGGATGTGTAAAGATGTCACAGGAAAAATATGTTAACAAGATACTGGAGAGGTTTAACATGCAAAACTGTAAACCCAGAGAAACACCCTGTGATCAAAAACTTGACTATACAGAAAATGCAGTGAAAATGGATGATGTCAGGATGTACAGAGAGGCGATAGGCAGCCTTATATACCTGACCACATGTACAAGGCCAGATTTAAGTTTTGTTGTGAGCAAACTATCACAATATTTTGCTGAGCCTACAGAGGAACAGTGGGTAACTGTGAAACATGTGTTAAGATACCTTAGAGGCACTATAGAGAAAGAGTTGTGTTTCAGAAGAAACATAGGCTTACTAGCCTACAGTGATGCCGACTGGGCAGCTGATGTCACCGACAGGCGCAGTACCACAGGATACTGTGTAAGCCTCAGTAAGAACAGCTCTTTAGTCTCATGGAAGAGTAAGAAGCAGCCTACAGTGGCACTTTCCACCTGTGAGGCGGAATACATGGCTCTAGCCTCAACTATACAAGAGTGTATATATCTAGACCAGTTACTGGAGGGTACCGATGATTACAAATATACAGTAGTGTATGAGGACAACCAGGGAACAATTGCCCTAGCCAAAAACCCTGTAAGCAGACAGAGGTGTAAGCACGTGGACATAAAGTACCACTTCATAAGATCAATTGTAAAGGATGGGAAACTAACTCTGGTGTACTGCCCTACTGAAGAGATGGTGGCAGACATAATGACAAAACCTGTAACTAAGCTGAAACTGAAGAAGTTTCCCGGAATCGTTTTTGGAGTTTAAAATGTGTGAGGAGGTCCACATTTTCATTTTGTTTACATTTTTGGAGTACAGCAACCTGAGAACAAGTGGGGGTGTTAAGGGAAATGTTTACATATGTCCTCAGTTATTGTATGTAATACTGTTATTGTACCACTGTGAGGCACTGTAGTATTACGTGCTACGTAATGACCAGTCTTGCGTCATGAAAATGAGGGTGTGTTCACCTGATGCACATGTACACTGTCTATGTTTGTTCTCTTCTAAGTTAGCTCGGCTGAGCCAGAGCCATATAATAGAAGAGACGGTTATCGTCACGTGGTTCATGTAGACGAAGATCGTTCCCCGGAAGTTCATGGCGGGCAATGTAAATGCATTGATAACAGGAGATAGAACTACGATTTTTGGTAATTATTAGTGAATAAAGGTTTTGATTTGCAATATTTATACAACAAATCGATATCAATATCGATTTACATCAATATGTTTTAAAAAATAAAATAGAATTTGCTAATATTAAGTGATAATATTAGGATTAGTGTGAACAACTAGTTTACATGTTAGGCTAACAGTGCCTTGGTTAAAGAGCCTGTTGCTGTTTATTTATAGCTTTGAATTCTTTAAAACCAATATTATCTTCTTAAACTTGTATGGTAGTCAGGAGCATCACTTTCTAATGTTTATTGATATATTTAGAGGGAGGGGATCTAAAGTAATGCTTTCAAATTCAGATTAGATTAATGTCTACCATTTTCTTAAATTCATGGTAGTTTCAGTAATCCCATGGTAATTGAGGACACAAGTTATCTAAATGACTAATGTCATCTTTATGGCTTTCAGAAAGGACAGGTGACTATCAAAAGACTAGCAGCAGCAGCAGCATGATGATGATGATGTTAAATGTGTTGTTTTAGGAACATCCATTGCAAATACATGGAATTCAATAAACATTGAATAGCATATCATGCAGTTTGTCTGTGCCTTTTCCTCCGTGTTGTCCTGGTTTGCTGTGCTGCCTCCTAGTCGCCACCATGGTTTGCTGTGCTGCCTGGGGATGCTCAAATTGCTCCGAGAAAGGAGTACGAATGTACGGCTTCCCCACTGACACAGAGCGGAGGAAAAAATGGCTGGCTCAAGTCAGCAGGAGCAATTTCACGACCAACAGCAAAAACATATGTGATTTAATTATATACAAACACTGCATTTGCACTTTTTCACAAAACGAAAACCACACCATTGGGAAAGCTTAATGTTTTGTTTAATACAAAAAAACAGGGAAAGGCTTGAAAAACACTGAGTTGAGACTCAGGGTGCAGGGTGAGGGTCTCAGTGCAGGTATTCAGGCTCCATTGAATCCCCCTCTGGTTCTTGTGCTGAAAGAGGGATAAACAGACAGGAGAAAGGGTTATACACACACAGCACACCTATTGGATGGGAAATTGCCTTGGGGAGATAAGGTGTGGTCTTTGTTCCCAACTGAAGTTATGGAACTTTATTATTTGTAAGTTTAACAAAGTATGACAAATGGCATCAGTAACAGATGTGATATTAATTTCTATAAAGTTGTCTCACATTCTTGGTCATATTTTATATACAGTATGTAATGAGTATAACATGTCCAGTAAGTATAAAGTGTTTCCTAATACTGTGTATTCAACCACTATGGAATATGTATGTGGGCAGACAAGATTCAGACACAGTTGTTCTGTGTGTGAAGTAACCTCAAGTCACTCCGCAGGCACATTTTGATGCAGACCAGTTTGTCAAGACAAAAAAGGGCAAGACTAGGCTGAGAGCAGAGGCTATACCCACCATCTTCGTGCATCGCCCTGTGGTCAAAAAGAGAAGGGCCCCTGCACCACGATTCACCCCGGGACCTGTATCTACAAAGCCCATAGCTCATGATCACAGCTATAGTGTGAAAGGTGACACAGGTATAATAAGTATGAACTCTTAGTAACAAAAGTAATATTTGTTATTTTTAAGTGGTATAATATTTAAAATGTTCAAAAATGTACAGTGCCATGTCTTCTACTTACATTAGTCTCAAAGATTGAGGGAAGAAGGGATGAGGAGACTGAGAGAAAGGAAAGTGAGGGTGAAGAAAGAGAGGACATGGCTAGTGAGGAGAGACAGGGAGGGCGGACACCACCCACTCAGCCAGCAGCCAGTCAGCATACGAGGGAACCAGCAGCCAGTCAGCATACGAGGGAACCAGCAGCCAGTCAGCATACGAGGGAACCAGCAGCCAGTCAAACAGATCTATTACAACAATTAAAGAGAAAATTAAAGAGCCAAGAAGGAATCACCAAAAAAGCAAAGGCTGCACTAAGAAAAATCAGGAAGGAAAATGCAGCTCTCAAGAAAACAATGAAAATTAGGGACAAGAAATATAAGAAAACGTTTTCAAAAGTCCAACTGAAGGCATTAGGCAGACTCACCACAAAGGGGATGAAATGGAGCAATGAGACAATTAAGAAGGCTTTGCGAGCGGACCAACGGGTTACAAAACTCTGCAGGAATTGAAGATTCCCCTTCCAGGAATAAGGACA